AAATAACTAAGGAAATAAACGTGTTTTCTTTCCCCGATTGCACAATCAAGTCTCGGAGCAGCGCGTGAGCCCTGCCCTTTTTATGCCCACCTTTTTTGCGCATGTGCAATAGGACCCCGACGCTGCGCAGGTGTAAGGTGTTTTGGGGGTTTTTTTTGCCCATGAGCACCGTTCCTGCGGTGCTCCACGTGCGCTTTTCCCGGGTAAATTTGGCGCATGCGCTCTCGCCGTCCTCTAGCGCAGGCGCACTGGGGGACACTGCGCACACCTGCGCTATAGCCGAGCAGTCAGGCGCATGCGTACTGAGTGGCGCTTGCGCACGTGCGTGGTGCAGTCGGAGCCCTGCGCAGGCGCGAGGCAGACTAATGAGAGCGCATGCGCGCCAGTCAAGGTTTTTTTTTTTTGTATTACACATGCGCACTGACAGCACAGCAGCCGACTCYATTGCGCATGCGCAGGATTACAGTGCTCGTGCGCATGCGTTCTGGAGGCACTACATTGGGCATGCGTATTGTTACCTCAAGRCTGCGCATGCGTAATTCTCAGCCAAATTTCACGCATGCGTTCTCGCCTCTTCCCTGGTGCATGCGCAGTAACGACATGGCAAACGCATGCGTACTGAGGGGCGATTCTGCGCATGTGCAAYAGCGTCACTGCGCTGCACATGCGCAATCCTGACTTCACAGACGGCGCGTGCGCTCTCATCATGCGTGTCGCGCACATGCGCACTRCCAGAACAGCCCACTCTATTGCGCATGGGCACTACAGTGTTGGTGGCACGCATGCGTGTTGAGGCGCGCCGCACTGCGCATGCGCATTGCCTCCTCTGTGTAGCGCATGCGCTTTTCGCGGCTCAGTTTGGCGCCGCAAAGTCTCGCGCATGCGCGTGGCCAAGGAGGCGGGCGCACGCGTTCCGCGCGGCGGTTCCGCGCGTGCGCAGCGGCCACAGCGCTCCGCTCGTGCGGGCACGGGTGCCCGCAGCACAAGATGTCCTCCAGTGCCRGGCACGGTGTGTAATTCCAGAGAGAGCTCGAAGGGCGCGATGCCCTGGACCTGCGTTTGCGGGATGAGATAGGAGCTGCTGGCACGATGATGATGATGATGGCGAGTCAAGCCAGGTTGAGAGGTGAAGGATCCCTGCAGCACTGGGTGTTGTGGGGTGCCAGGTGCATCCTGGAACCCAGAGGACAGGAGCAAGGTCAACACCTGAGCGAAAGACCCAACAGCTACAACACAGACCGCGTGGAAAAGGCTGGAGCCGCCTACCCGAGCGCACCGCACTTTCTCCTCTGGAACACCCAAAATTCTTGTCTCACACCACTCRTCGACAAGAGGCATCCACACTAAATAGAACGGTGACTCACACGCACCACCCCAACATCTCAAATCCCCCCACTTAGCTTTGCCAGGGCACAAGGTCACCGCAGGACTTTGGGATCCGCTCCACACTGGCGGCAGTATCCCCTTCGATCTCCTTCGGGACACCCCGTTCACCTTCGTCATCCACTAAATCGGAACTGGATTCGTCATCCGCGTGACAGACGGGTCCCGCCTCGACCACAAGAAAAGCCCTCCCTTGGGGTACAACCATCGCTCCGCTCGCCTGGATCTTGCCGTACGCACGTTGTGGCGGCGAGGGCACCCGTGACATCCAGAACAAGCAAAATAACCTGGAGACGCTGCTGCTGGGTAGGAAGGATGAGCCCTAGAGCGACTGGCACAGTATTATACTTAATGTACCTCGCCTCAAATGCTCTGCCGTGACTGGAAAAKGCCCAACCGGGACCTGAAACAGAGGAGAAAAATCAAATCACAGAGAGAGGGTCCAACAGCACCCTACCACCCAAAATAAACCCAACAGGAACACGGGGGCGACCCCTCTCACCTGCTCCATCTCCTGCCCCGGCAAAACCTACAGGCACCGAGAGAACAGCGCACCTTTAGGAGATGACATCTTTACCTGTTCTGCTGGCCTACCATACATCTAGCCGGCATATACCTGCCGCGGCACYTGTAAAAGCRGAACGTGAGCGGGCAAGAGGGACGACGKCGGCCCCGAAACCCACCCGACGTCGGCACCGCTTCATGTCGCGGGTCGAGGCTTCGCTCCGWCTCGAGGCTCGCCTCGCTGCGCTGCTCCGGCCGCGGCTGACGCGCTCTCCGACACCTCGCCACCTACAGATACGGAGCAAAAAGTCATCGGGAAGAACCGCTGACGGCAATGCTCTCCTTCCAGCGACTCCCTAGCATCCATCTAGACATAAAATAAGGCCCCCTAAACACCAAAGTACTAAGCCAAAGAGACACAAACAAAGAAAAAAACCCAAAACTCCTCTTAGCTCACGACTTCATCAGACGCCCTTCAGGGATCCTCCTTAGAAAAGCTCTTTGTTTGCCAAAAGAACAAGTGGCCCGTGGTGTGGCCGTGCCCCCAGGGCCCGGGGAGGCGGCTGTGCACGGAGGCCCCACGGAAGCCCGCAGGGCTTTCCAGCCGGTTTTTCTCTTTTCAGCCCCAAAACAGAGGCAGGGCGTGGGGGCAGCGCCCTTTGCGTGGGCAGGTGGGGTGCTCGCACCTTTAGACTCTCACCAGCATTGGGGTTCCGTCCGTGGGCACTGCGAGGACAGGGAAGCCTCCGCGCACCCGGCCAAACCTTCACGACTGACTTCGGAATACGCAGCAAAAAGCACTTGGAGGGCATCTCTCCAGACACAGCCCTGCCTTGTTTGTACGATCACAGAGTAGGGAGGGACTACTAATGAACCAATTATACTAATGAACCAATGAGTCAATTAACTGTTAATGAGCTATTAACTCGGTGTGGATGTGTCCTTGCCCTTCCATCCCGGCCYCGGGGCTCCTGCTCCCTGGGAGTGGCTGCCGCGGATGCTCCTGTGCGGAATGATGGGCCCGGTGTCCATAGGAAAAACTATAGGACCCCCGTGCCRGCCCTGCGCCCGCGGCGGGCAGCACCGAGGACCGTAGCGAGGCACAACTCGAGGCTCGCTGTTGGCCTCAGAGTCCTACGAGGTTGCTTGCAAACTACGTATTGTGATAGGCTCTAATAATCCCAAATATTTGATTTTTATCACTGTGCTTTTTATAGCTCAGTCCGGGGTTCTTCTAAAAGTGTGGCACCTGTAAACAGATCTGGACAACAGCAGCRGCATATGGAGCGAAGGTGAACGCCTTCCCTTCTTACACGATCCTGCGTTTCCGACACCTGGGCCACGGTCCCTTGTCAACGTTCCGACTCTTCGCTGTCGCTCCCGGGACACCGCTGAGGCCCGCGTTCCTGTTGCTAGCGTGTCCACTGTGGCGGCAAAAACCCCGCGGAACGCTTCAGGAGTCTCCTTGCTTTGTTTGCCGTCTACGTGAAATAGATAAACGCCCCTGCTTCAGCTTCCAAATATCAGTGCAATCATGAGATTAACGAGGCAAAGCTCAATTATGCAAAGTCTTAATATTCAGTATCCTGCGTGCCCCACGCTGTGTCCCTGCCCCACAGCAGGGACCTGCAGCCCCGACCATGCATCCTGCCTGGTCCCATAGCCTCGTGCTGCCCCACAGCCACATCCTGCCCCACAGCGGGTGCTGGCCACCCCTATAGCTCGGCTGGGGCCGTGCGCCCTGCCCCATAGCGAGTCCCCGCCTCACAGCCCTGTCCCGTCCCGTAGCGGGTCTCACCCCACAACCTCGTCCCTGCCCCACACCAAGTCCCGGCTCCGGTCCCGCCGCGACCGCATCCCGCTCCCGGCCCCCGCGCCGGGCCCGTCCCGCGCCGCCCCCTGCCCCGGCGCCCTCCAGTGACACGAACTGTGTCCGGTCTCAGGTCCCGGGGATCCCGAGGGAGCTGGGACGGAACCGCAGCCCCGGGACGGGCGGAGCTGCAGCGGGTCCTCCATGCACGAGGGGACCCRAGCGGCCGGGGGGGCAGAGGCCGCCCCAGCGCTGTCCCGGAGCTGCCCCCCGGGCCCCCCGGGCATCGCGCCCGGCCACGTCCGTCCCGGCCCGCGCTGCGGCGGCTGCCAGATGTTGGGGGGGCCGGGGACTGCCTCGCTCCAGCTGTTCAGAGGGGCGGGATTACTCCGAGTTTCCAGCACGGGGCCGGACCCCCGACGTGGCCGCTCGCGCCGCCCGCTCCCCTTTCCGCTCCCGCAGGCGCCGCGATGGCCGCGGGGCGCTGAACGCRGCCCCCCCGCCATGGAGCCCGCCCGCTGCGGCCCCCTCCTGCCGCCCCGCTACGAGCCCGGCCCCGCCGCCCTCTGCGCCCTCGGCTGCCTCTTCGGTGTCGTCTACAGCTGCTTCGGTGAGCGCGGGGACGGGGACACACCGGGGCCCGCGGGGGGCACTGCAGGGTGGGGGCTATGGGGGCACAGCAAGGCGCACGCAGTGGGGAAGGCTGTGGGGCACGGCAGGGGGGCATGGGCACGGGATGTAGCTGGAGGGCACGGCTGGAGCACGCCATGGGGTACAGCTATGGGGCGCAGCTGTGGGGCATGGCAAAATGTGGGCTGGGGATGCACCATGGAGCACAGCCAGGGCCATGGCAAGGCGGACACCATGGGGAATGTCGTGGGGCACAGCTGTGGGGCACAGCTATGGGGCACAGCCGGACAGGCCTGGGGCACAGCATGGGGAGCATCACAAGCATCGTCCAGGCACACGAGGCCCGGGACAGCAAAGAGCTCCCCATGGGTCACACCATGGGGCACAGCGATGTGCACTCTGTGAGACACGCCGTGGGTCACACCATGGGGCACAGCGATACCCATGCCATGGGACACGCTGTGGGTCACACCATGGGGCACAGT